GGTGGTGTTGGTTTGATGGTTGGACTCGATGATCTTAGAGGTCTCTTCCAACCTTAATGATTCTATGATTCTATGATTAAAATGCTAGCTTTATGCCACAAAGACTTGTATCAAATAATGTTATCAATGGCTTGAAATGCTAGCAGATTATTTTCAGGTAACAATTTCCACTCAGATCTTTCTTTGAAGTGCAAACTAAAATCATTTGCGTAAAGGGGGGAAAAAACCTTCATTCCAGAGAAGGTACGCTGAAGTAGTAGTAAAGGCATCATGGTAATCCTTTAATAGCCTTATTTGCATAATTTGGTTATAATGTGGTCGGCATTTCATTCCCACATAGATCCTCCAGTCTTTATAGCTTTAAGAAGTTTTACTTTTCAAATGGCAGCATCTCACCTTGAGGTGTGCTTTTGTATCGCACTTATTGCTTAGCTGTAATGGAGACAGAAGTAATTAGGTTCCATTTCAAGTACCTTCTTGTTCTCTTTTACATAGGAATAGATGATGGAGCTGGTTCCTGGAGGGTTTGGATGTTTGGCTTTTCATTGTTCCCCTCCCCACAAGTCAACTCCCTTTTACATGTTAAGCAATAAGATGTATTTTGTTTAAGTCTGATTACTCAGAGTATAAACACAGAAGTAGATCGCATGCTTTTGCTCCTGTATCACGAAAGGAAGGGAGTAAGACTTGTTCATATGAAACTTCATTTGGTTCTACATTGAGATTTTAATATTGAAAACTATTTTTGTGTTTGTGACTTTTTTAAGGTGCTGGGAACCCAAATTGCAAAGTCACAATTGTTAATGGGCAAAACGAAAAACTCCTCAGCCTCCAGGTAAGGATTCCGAGGAGATTCAAAGAGTTACCTAAAACTTGTTTCCTGGAGGAGTCACTGCTTGCAAAAATTTTGTTAAGTGGAATACCATTAATTGCCTTGATCAGTTGGATGTGCTTGTGAATTACAGAGGAGTTTTAAACCTGTGCATGTGTCTGTTTAGAGAAAAATGTTGCTGACCAAGCTCCTGTTTTGCTGTCAGCTGCTGATGACTGAAGCCTCCCAACCTTTTCACTGTCACCAGCTTGCATCCACGTGCTTCCCCCCCTCCATTGCACTAGCTCTAGTGTTCATGCAGCTGTGTGATGAATTGGATCAGGAAATTTTGGGGGGTTCACTAACTTTATCTTGGTCACCTTAGTTTTAGTCTGCATCAGTTGTTCAACCAGCAACTATCTCTGGCTTATAATTTATTTCATAAGTATAGTACATAAAACAATTAACAAGAGTAAGAATTGCTTGCTTAAATCATAATAAAACCAAAACTTTTCAGAGCTTCCCTGAACAGAATGAGTACAAGTGGCACATCAGAGACCTGAAGTTATCTACCAGGTTTTTCACAAAGTTATCTGTAGGTATAGAAAGTTAAGTTTGAAACATGGGATGTTTGTTATGTGAAGTTGTGTGAGCAGAGAGCAGTGCACATATTTAATCGGACCTACTCATTCCATTCCTATATGTGTAAATATAATACTTCCCTCTTCTTGTTTAAAATAAATGTTGTTCAACTCTTATTACCAAACTAAAATTGTCTTTTACAAAAACTTACGCAAGTGATGAATAAAATGCTTCGTGACTGATTTCATTAAAATCACACAGCTTGTAATACAAAAGAATTGGAACATTTATATCTCTAAGTTGGATTTTAGCCCAAATTCCACTGATTATCTTAAGTTTTTAGATTTGGCTAGGTTCCATTGAGAAGTAAACAGTAACTTGCTTACAACATACAGGATGGTTTGTCCAACGGCTGTACAGACAGTGGCATCTGTTGAGCTCTTTGAAGCTGAACGGAAGTTCATGGAGGAGATTACTGCACTTGCTAGAACTGGAGACTGAATTCAGGGACCTGGGATGTCACCTCCAGTTCCGTGTGACTACTAACTGACCTTAAATATTCTGAAGGAATTTAAACATGGGGATTCTTTTCCTAAACTATAGGCAAGCCAAGATGGTGATGATGATAAACATATTTTGAGAACAAAAAAGAAATGCGCGGGGGTGTGGGTGTGGGTTGTGGAGGAAATGGACTGGGTGATACAGAAGTACTTGCACAGAAGTGACAGAACTAGTAGTTTTTTGGTCGTGGTGCATTAGATGCCAGTAGAACATTTTTACACGTTGACTGGTGATTCAAGGAGTGTTGAAGCATGCATGCCCACTGCATGCAGGCAGGAGGGCTGTAATCGGTATAGGTAAATCTCAACATGGGCTTTATGCGAGTGCTAAATTGAGGATAGAAAATAAAAACAGTGGAGGGAGGGGACAGAAGGGAGGCTCAAAGTTAATTGTAACTTGTGCATTTTGTCTTGATCAGGTATGAGCAGCACAGTATGATCATTGTTCCCATGGACACTCCAGGGCTGAAGCTGATAAGACCCCTCTCAGTGTTTGGCTATCTGGGTAGGTGATAATATTTATCAGCTATATGTGTATTAATTTGTTAGTAATCTCAGGAGCTGCAGTAATACTAATAAATATTGTATATGAAATAAATCAGTAAAATGCATACATAGAAAAAGGGTTAGGAATTGAAGGCCTGTATTTTTATCTTCCTTTGTTTTACCCTGCTGTTGTGTTTTCTCTGTCCCTGTAGATGAGATCCATGGAGGACATTTTGAGATACACTTTAATGATGTGCGAGTACCTGTCTCCAATATAATACCAGGTGAGTTTCAGTTTTAATTCCTTTTTAATACATACATCAATGAACCAAGTTTTATGAAATGGTGGTATATTTCATGAATCACCATAAGTTATTGTAAACAGCTACGGTCAGTTAAGCCAGGGTCTCTAACACATGTAAGAGGGAGCCCACTCTTCCTTTAGCAGTCTACCTGCTGCTTGAATGTAACTTGTTTAGAGCAGAAAGGTGATTAAAGGAAGCAGGGCATCTGTAGCTGTCATGCGAAAATCACTTCCCTGAAGTAGAGCAAAGCAGACACTGTCAGTCAGTGGAGTTCTTTCTCCAGAACCAGTTCTCATAGACTTTACAGACTTTTAAAAAGAGTGTTCTGCTGTAGTCTGTGGCCATCCAAGCCTGGGTGCCTGCAGACTTAGCAGAACTGAAAAAAAAAAAAGAAAGAAAGAATGAGCAGGCCAGCACTGTGACCTTCTGCAGGGAGAACTTTGCTCTACTTCTCACTTAGAAGAAATCAGGATTTACAGTATTTCCTCTCTGCTATTTTTATTTCCCTGAAAGAGCTTCCTCTCTTGAATAGCCCTAGGACCTGGAAACCTCAAAGTCTTCCCCCAAATTCTCATACCAAATTTCATATATGTGTTTTTCAATGTAAGATTAACAACATTTAAATTAAATCAGTGTCCTGGTTTCGGCTGGGATAGAGTTTTTTTCATCCTGGTAGCTGGTAGAGTGCTGTGTTTTGGATTGAGCATGAGAATAATGTTGATAACACTGATGTTTTAGTTGTCGCTAAGCAGTGTTTATACTAAGTCAAGGACTTTTCAGCTTCCCATACTCTGCCAGCAAGGAGGTGCATGAGAGCTCGGAGGGGGCTCGGAGGGGGCACAGCCAGGACAGCTGACCCAAACTGGCTAAAGGGATATTCCATATCATATGATGTCATGCTCAGTATATAAGCTGGGGGGAGTTGGCCGGGGGGCAGTGATCACTGCTCAGGGACTG